AGAATTTATTTAACATCACCTCTCCGTTGTCGACAAGAGCCATAGAGGAGGTTTGCCCGCATGTGATGCCCGATGCATTCTTGCCCTGCAGGCATCCGGTGACCTTCCTGGGGTAGGGTTGGTTGGCTGTGGAGCCTGAACCAATCTGGCCACAGTTATTATATCCCCATGCAAAGACCTAGAGAGGATTGACAATGTTGTAGTGTGAGAGAAAAACACCTTTCTCAGAATGATGTTATTGATGCTGTACTCTGAGTTTTTCTGTTTGAGTAACATCTCAAACAGAAAAACTTGAATGCACATGAACAAACTGGGAAAAGGATTTAATACTTAACGTACACTTAGTAACATTTTAAATGGCAACAGCCTTTCCAGCTTACCACACAAACAACCCCATTAGCTTTAATGCCGCTGGGTTAAAGACAAGCTTCTTAGTGTCACACCTAAAGGCCTCAAGGTGGCAGGTCAAGGTATATATGGGTGACTCCCTTAGGGCTAAACCTTTTATTTAGAGCGGTACATAAAAATAAGAATATTCTAATTTCAGTCATATTTGATGATATTTTATTAATTTAATTAAATTATGTGTGCCACATATTCCTTTTCATTACCTACTATTGCCATCCCTGCTCTTTTCTTTTGTTGTTTAAGAGTGAATGGAAACTGTTTACCATCCAAACATGAATTTTTTATTTATATAGCACCAAATCCCAACAGCAGTCACCTCAATATGCTTTATATTGTAAGGTTACGACTGTACAATCATAGAGAGAAAACCTAATCACTCAGCTGATCCCCACTAGTAAGCACTTGGTGACAGTGGGAAGGAAAAACTTCCTTTTAACAGGAAGAAACCTCCAGAAGAACCAGGTTCAGGGAGAGGCATCTGCCAGGACCAGCTGGGGGTGAGGGGAAAAGAAGAGAACAGAGGGAGACAGGAAAAGACACGCTAAACACATTTAACGGTGATTAAAATAAAATAAAAAAAGGACTTGCCTCTCCATCCAGAGTGAGAGCCATAGAGTGATGTGAGCCACACGACACCTCTTTCACTTTTTTGTTCTGCAGGTTAGCGGTGATCAACACCGGGGAGAGTCCCGGGTTGGTCGACCCATTCCCCAGCTGACTGTAACCATTGTGACCCCATGCAAACAGATGTCCATCTGCAACACATAAAAACAAATTTAAGCTGTCAATGCTA